TAGGATTCTAAAGTGAATTATAACACATGTTAAATTATAGTTTTTAGGAGCTTTATATTATATATATATAAGTAAATTTTCAACCGCGTGAAGTTGTGTAATTAAACTTAAACGTATTAATTTTAAGATAATTTTTTTTTAATTTTAGTGCGAAAATGTCAATATATACATTAATAGTTGTAGCTAATTTAAAAACAGTAACAAATTTTTTATTATTTTTTCTAAGTTCTTTCTAGAAATTAATATTAAATTTAATAAAGCTGAATTAATAAAATAAAACCTTGAATCAATTAGTAAAGCATATTTCACATTAAATTAAAGTTAAAATGTTTAGAAAATGCATTCTTAAGACAATGTGGTCAAAGTTTATATCCACAAGAATATTATGTAAACAAACTTAAGTAAATTTTATATCATGGCAAGTGAGCAATGACAACAATAAAAATAATTAAACCGTAAAGTTTGAACGAAGGTCATTTTTAATTATAACTGTAGAACTAATTCAAAATGCTTGCTCTTTATTAATTACCAACAATTGTTATTCGCATAAAATGCTAAATTGTCGAGTTAATTGTTCAGATAAACATACTTATAAAATGTCAATTAAGTAATCATTTTATTTTTTTTTTTTTTATGTGTTTAGTTTTGTCATATTCTTGTCAAGTTTAGAAAAATTTTATTTAAAAAAAAATAAAAATTAATTTTTAAGAAATGGGGCGAACCCAAAGCTTAGGACATTTATCTAAAAGTTTGTAGACGATGTGTATACGATTAATTTAGTTGGTAGTATAAGGTTCTCTATCTTAGAGTAGTTGTGTAGCAAAACAATTTTTTTGAAGGGTTGACAAAATATATTTAATTATTTCATAAGCCATTAGTGGCCTGTAATATTATTGTGGACTGTTCTACTAGTTAAAGTAATTTAGTCGGCAAATTTATCAAAAACAGTAGGCAAAATTTACTCTCCATATTTTTTAAAAATTATATCTTGGTAATTTTATAGCTAAAATAGATAAAACTCAGATCGATTATAAAAGTAATACACACAAAAACATGATTTGGCCAAGTTTTTATAAAAACTCAGTATCGAAAGAAACGATTTTTTTAAATTATATTGTAGCGTTTTTGCAATAACAAATTCATATATATGAATTTGTAAGAGATATATAAAAATATTTTTAATTTATAAAGTATTTAATAATTATTAAAACAAATTAAATTATCAATTAGCAGTGAATAACTTCTTTTCTTTATTTAAATATTTTTAAGAGAGGGTCAAAACTAAAACCACTTTACGTATTCTATTCCATGTAGGATTCTTACACGATAGGGCTTAACCATCATAGGGATCAAATGTCCGTCGATCGGTCAAATAAGAAAAATAAATGGTGTGATAAGTATTATATACAATGTTATTAGTGCTATAACTCTTCGAATATTCTTGATCCATAATTTATTTTTTAATATTCGTAAGCAGATTAAAAAAAAAATCCCCTAAACAAAAAATTAAAAATTGTGTTGGAATTAAACTGTATTTATGTCCACAAAGGATTAACAAAAACGTTATATTTAATACAGTCGTCTTAAACCAATGGAACGCAGTAAAAAATAAGTGTATTTTTTTTTAATTCTATATAATTAATTTTGTTGACTATAGTTTTTGAACTATGTAAATTTAAAAGTACTTTCACTAATGTAATAGATTGTTATTCTAAAAGTTCTATCGTAGTAATCGGTTCTACAAAAAACTAGATAAAACCGTCAAAAAAATATATAACATTTTTTTTGTCGATATGTTTTTGTGATCCTACACCATTGATATATACTAAATAAAACTATAAATTTGTTAGATTGAAATTTTAATAGTATATATAAAATAAATAACTTTTGTGGAATATCGATGGCTACACTGTCGCGTTTTCATACCTACATATATATCTGTGCTTATTCTATGTAATTTAATTTTATTTGCCCAGCTGTTATCAACAAAATTCGCTAAACTTAATCGACTTATTGTAATGAGTCATCATTTTCTTAGGTTGTCCTATTTATAAATATACTGTACGATATTTATAATATTTTTGTGTAAAATGGAGAACTTACAGTTTTTCCATATATTTCTCCATAATTTTTATATTTAATGTATTATTTTCAAGACCTATTTAATTTATTAAACTAAATAGTCAGATTGTGTTGTCCAATAATTTTTTTGACGTGTGTTTATTTGTGCGTGTGTGTCTAGTGCGGACGCAATAGTGTAATTTGTCGTTGCCACGTGAATAACGGTACGGTACTATGTTATCCCTCCAAGAACGTGTTGCTGCCGTTGTTATATTACAATATAATTGTTACTGTTGGACTTCAAGTATTATGTTATCGTCATTGTCGTCTCGCGTTTGTTGTTAATAGCTATTCAAGTGTTTTTGATAAACCTTTACGCGACTACAGTGCGCAATATTTATTTTTTTTTACTCGTTTGATTTTTAAGTGGGAATTCCAAACCAGTCCCCCCTATAAAGCCCAAACGGTGTAAAGTATATAAATATTTTCCGTCCGCTGTTACTTGCATAGTGTAAATTTATTTAAAAGTGTAATCAGCCTAAAGAGTAGAAGATATTTTTCAAGTCTTGGGTTTTCATTGTATGGGTAAGATAGCATTTTTAATATATGATATAATTTAAGTTGAATTAAAAAAAATTTTTTTCTTTCTTTCATATTTTAATTTTCTAATTGTTTTGATTCTTAAATTTATTTAATTTAATCTGTAATGTACTAATTTTATATATTAATCATTATTAGTACTAGTACTTTCACTTATTATTACAAATAATAAGGTAATACGTTAATAGATAATATAAATAATAAGGTAATATGTGCAGTTATTTTAGCTTTTTTATCAATAAAAAATTGTTTTGATTTTTAAAATAATTTTTTGTTTTTAATAATTAGCCAAATTATTCACTTTATATATTTACCAAATATTAAATTTTTATTTAACTGTAAAAGGTACTAAATCAATTTTAAAAAGGGTGCCAATCAAAAAATGGCTTATAACTGGCTAATTTAAATAACATTAGTTCTTCTAGGAAAGTAAAAGTGTCAATAACTATATTTTTTTTATCATTTTGTAAAAAACCAATAATTAAAAAAGTAGTATCAATCCTATATAAATTATGATAGCAAAATTTAAAATACAGCAATATTTTTATTGATAGGAATTACTGAAACATTTTCAACCATAACAACAGATTTAATACACTGATCTAAGATTGTATTTTTTCTTAAGGTACCAATAACTACCCTTTACTCTATAATTATCAGAAAGTTAATTAAGTTTTTGTTGCTTTTGATGTAATATATTTACAATATTTTATTTATTACCTTAAAAATTTCAATTTATCAGATTTCATTTTATAAAAATATCTATAATTTTAAAGGGATGTCATTTACTTCTAAAATACGCTCCTTAAAATGTGCTGCTTGGAACTTTTGACCCTTTATATATATCATTGACAATTGTATTGTAACATGATTCAGTGAGTTATTGTCTAAATAATTATTTTAATCTGTTCTTAATTTATTATCTGGCTAAATTATTTTGATATTTAATTGATACTAATTTCTATGAAATAGTTTTAATAAACTTAAAGCCATTTAAATTATTTTTTTCTCAAATTTTATTTAAATGTATAAACTAAGGTTAATAACTTCTAGAATTTGTTTTTTTTTTTTTTTTTTTTTTTTTTTAAGGTCTTTGAGATAACTATAAATTATAATGTTGTTTCAGAAAACCAATAAGCTAATTATTAAATTTTATGTTTCAAATTTTAAAAATTTAAATACTATTTTAATTATTTTATGTTTAAGTGCTATTTTAATACCATAATAGAAGAAAAGTTTTTGGAATTAAAGTATATACAATTTTTTTTTTGTTACTATTGTTACAAGAAAAAATTTCTAAAATAAATCATGTATCCCTAGTACCTTCACAAATATAGCACATAGTAATCTGAAATCAATTGGCTTGCCTCAACTTATATATTCAAGACAAAATAAATCTTGAAGTTTTATAATCCATTTTATTTTAATATCAGTTTTTAAATTTCTTTTAATTTTGGGATATGAATAAGAGTAAAATTTTAAAATTATAACATTTTTATGTAGCATATAGAAATGTATGAGTTTTAAGATTAAAGACTATTTTTTCTCCACTATATGTTTGGATTATCTCAGTAAAAATTTTATAAATAAATGGTTTGCGAAGAGATGCAAAAAAAAATGTTGGATATCAAAGACTAATATATGACTTAGTATGTATATTATGATTAAGACTTGATCATTGCCCTTAATCTTAATACAATTTTTGTCTTTCTATAAAATAATACATTTAATTGTATTAATAGTGTAGTTTTTGGTTAATTTTTAAAATAAAATTGCTAACTTTTTACAAATTAAAAGTCGACATATTTTTTACATATATTAGTCTTTTTAATGCATATTTAAGCAAAAAAGATAATATTTTTAAATAATTATTGCTTGAAATAACACTTTTTAGTACTTCTAGTTATTATACCTAGTAATAATTATTTGATAAGGATTATTTAATCCCAAATTAGTCTTGAATGTTTGTACTCATATTATTACTAAACTATTTCTTTTGACCTAAAATTACATATTTCATATTTATTGATATGTATATTCTTAGTTTTTGAAAATTCAATATTTGAAGTGTATTTGATCTCAGAATATTATATGTTTTAATTATTTTTATAATGTTGAAATTGAAAAAAAATTGATTATTTTATATTTTTTAAACTTAATGTTGTACCTAAAAATTAAGAAAAAAAAATATGGTTAAATATAAATGTATTTTTCAGAGCGTGAGAAAAAAGTACTAGAAGTAGAAGGGCCTGTTGGAGCTGCTGCAGACAGCTGCTACAGGGATGAATCCAGCTATATACCAACCGTGGGCAGATGGGGTAATGAGTGGCCAAGTTGACTCGAATATCAGCAAACTCATACCAAATACAATGATGAAGCTTATGCGTTTTGGCTGAGCTATTGCCAAGAGGCAGACTGGCCAATTAGCCAGCCTGTTCCTTTACCAGAATGGGGTAGCTCAAGACCACCTCATGTAATCAACTCTATCGAGGAATACGAAGAGTTGATTCAAAAATTTGAAAATGAATTACAAACTTTGTTAAAAACTAACAATTATGATTCAGTAACCAATTTCATCAAGTAAAGATTTTTATATAAATTAAATATATTTGAATGAATAACTGCTATATATATTGATCAATTTTTTAGATTTTACAATCTTTATGAAAATGAAAAGCAGTCATTGGAAGATTTTTTTAGAGAATATAAACCACCTTTAACTAAAGATGCAAATACTTGTGTTGGACTTGCTCTATTATTAATTGGAAAATTAGCATTACTTGATGAATTTTTTCCTGGTGTAAAAGAATGTTTGTACTTAGTGTCTTGTGAAGAATCTATACAAGTATGAAAAATTATGTAAACTGATAATATAAAATATTAAAAATTCCCAAAAAAATGCCTACCTCTGATCCATTTAATAATTTCAATTTTTTTTTTTTTTTTTTTAATAGCAACTTACATTTTTAGTGCATCTATATTTCAATTATCTTATATATTGAAAATAGTCTGATTAAGAAGTTAAATAGTTGTAAACAATTTCTAAGAATTTTTCAATATTTTTATATCTACACCATAAAAGAAATTGAACTGAAATATATGTAATATTCAAAATAACATTGAGCATATTATTCATGCAGTTAGTATTTAAAAGTGTTAACGACTTCATATTTAGTAGTTCAAAAGTTTATGTTGACTAATCAATTTATATTGTATTATTTGCTGAAATATGTGTATTTTTGACCTTTAAAAAATTTAATTATTAAGTCATAATGGATGGATCTAAAAAATACTTAAAATTAGGAAATCATTTAGTAAATTATTGATTTTGAATTTTTTCAATTGCTCTTTTAAATAAACAAGTTAACAAAATACTTATAATAATTTGAATTAATATTTTATTTACATTATTAAAAATGTATAAATATTTAGAGTCATGAAGGTTACATAAGTAATGATTATCCAGATCCTTGGGTGAGTGATAAAGAACATGTTATGGTTGCTTTACAAATTGAATTAGCTGGACGAGGTGGAATTATACTCTTGGATCCAGGTTATCAAATTGGTAGAGTTATAACAGTTATGAATGACCAAAAGTATCCACATACAGGTAAACATTTTTCTTATTTATAAAATTGCATTTATGATTTGATTTTCTATGAACACTTTAGGTCGATTTGTCCCACCATCATGTCCAAGAAAAGAATATTGTTATAAAACAGTGGTGGGTGGTAAATATGTACAATGGTCAGTTTGGAATGGATCTCCTGAACCAGATACTAATTTAGTTTATGTTGGGGCCTCTTATCATTCTCCAATTAGTGTTACCGAACGTCGAAACTTGGTTTACAATTTTAGAAGTTTGCTAGCAACAAATGAAACAGGACAATTGTTGGCTGGTGTTTATTTCAAAGTAGCATACCAATCAACATTCACCATATTTTGTGATGATGAAGGAAATCCAAGTATTAAGCATCGGATTAAATTACCATCAACAACATTTCTGTCACTAAGTGTAAATAAATATTCAATTTCGTATGTATTAAATGTGAATTAAAATAAAATTGTATTTAATTTTTTTAGAATATTGAACCAGACATTGAAAAAATAATTAATCAATGTAGCAAGTATCTAAAAATATCTAAAACGAAATTTTGGAACATACTAACAATTCTGGCACACATTTTAGAAGATCAAGAATTTGTTGAAAATACATGTAAAATCAATAAAGATATTTGGCAACTTGTTGGTTATGAAGTTGATGAAAATAACAATACTGAAGGCATTTGCAACTATAATTTATCCGGATAATTCTTCTTAAATTTAAATCTATATATATATATTTTTTTTTTTATTATGATTTCTTTATTATAAATTATATTTTTAATTATACATTCTTAGAAATATTTGATTTATATTCATTTTAAATAATGCAATAGATTTTAGTTTTTTTTTTTTTATTGTATAAGTTATTAACTATGAAATTAACTGAACTAAATATTACATATCCGTGAAATATCTTGGACTTTTAATATTTCCTAAGCACTCAAATCTTCTTTTTATTATAATAAATATTAAATCTAAAAATAATCTGATTTTAACTACAAAACTAACTTATACTTTATATAATCAATACAATCAAAACTTAAATTAATCTTACTTTCAAAGCTTATTATAACAAAATTATAATTTATGTATATGATGAATAATTATTATAATACAAGTATTTATAAATTACTATAATGAAGAAAAATCGCGAAATATCTTTAAAAACGTACATAAAATGTGTGTCATTACATAAGTTGAACAATTCATTGGTCATTTGTTGGTTTATAAGATTTTTTTGAAGAACGTTGTTTAGATGATCTTTTCTTTACATGTTCTGAAGGCCCTTCAATAGCTAACACATCTCCACTAGAAAAAAAAAGTTTATTAAGTAAATATATATTTAAATTAAAAATTTGAAAATATAAGTTAAGTTAAAATTATAAATTTGAGGAACATTTGAAAGTGAGTCACATTTATTTTACAATTTCGATCAAACCATCATAAACCTATTTTACTGTTCTTGTACCAAAGCAAAATAATAAACAGATTTTATTAGACTTTTGCTGAATATGACTTTCAAAAGGAACAAATTTAAGTCAACTGAATTTTTATACTTTTTGACTAAAAGCCTAATAATAATTGCTAAAATAAAATAAAATTTAGGGTTGAATGATGTAACAATTCTTATCCACATGATCATTTCTACTTCAACTCTATTAAGTTTTTCAACACATTCTTTATTCTGGACCATGTGTCATTAATGTGATACCATCTGTTCTATACTTAATTCACAGCGTTTCTGACAGTGTTTTGACATACAATTATAAGATGGAAAAAAATAGAAAAACTACCTTTACAGTCTAATTTTTTCAACTCTCTTTTGCAAAATCTGTTAACATACGTCTCTAAATTTTACCCAAAACTTGTACAACTTATTTTTTTTACATAATAGAACAATTCTATAGGACATATTGAATGAATTTCAAAGTTCATTTTTAAAAATCTCCCTTATTTGTATATAAATAACTTAATATTTAATAACACATTCATCAGTTAATAATATGTTGAAAGCTAATTAAAGAACAAATTTATTAATCAAAATTATGTATTAATAACTGTTTAAGATACATACAAAATTTAAAATTCTATAAAATAGGTACATAACTACATAAAAATACAGTTGAGTTTAAGAAAGAAACGTCTTCTAATTAAAGACTAGATATCAACAGTAAGATAAATACCAAGAAGTTGATTCTGAATAATTCATTGTATACTTTACATATTATTAGTTTTAGTACTAAGAATATTTTTCAGAAATCAACTCAATTCTTCATTTTTTGATACATAGTATGATATTGATATTTAGTCTTTAATTATAGTTTTAATATGAAAATTTGGGACACAGTAATAATTGTATATTTACATACTTAAAGAGGTGAATAGTTTAATAGTAATTTATATGTCATAACTAATAAATATATATATATATATACAATATACACACACATTTAAATATAACTAATAAAAAATAACTACATATTTTTTTTATATTGACTTATTCACCAACCATCTTTAATAAGTTTTGGTAAAATTATTTCACTTATACTATTTAATTAGCACCACTGATATTTTATAACAATACTTAGTATTAAAACTAATATGTTAGAATTTGTAATAAACTCAAACTTATTAATTATTTATGAATAGTATAGATTAATTAATGTAAAATCAATAGGCGATATCTACATGGATCAGTATAAACAAAAATAAATTTTTAAGAATAAACCATGAAAATAGAATTAAAAAGATCTTGTAATACTCAATATTCAAATTTTTTCAGATTTCAAAATGATATCATTTAAAAATTGCAGCAAATTTTAACTAAAAAGTTAATAAATCAGTTATATAAAACAATTATCTTGCATTTTCGTTTTAAGTCAAATATTTCTGTTTTTTTCGCTATTATCATTTAGGTACAATTACACTGTTAAATTTCAAATAAAATGTCTAAATTTATAAATTACAATATTATTATGTATTCTTATTTATAAATATTCATATTTTATAATTTTTTGTTAAATAACTATGCCAATTTATTATTTTGTTAATTAATAACACTAAAATTATTTTACTTGACTATGTTAATTTTTTTAAGTATTATAAACAGGACTTTTAGAGTATTAGGCAATCTGCTTTTTAATTACACTTACCTACTGCGTGGGGCTATAGATGGTAATACTTTGTGGTGCTTTTTAAGGGAATGTGAAGAATTCTGATTTCTAAGAAAAAAAAAATTAACACAAACTATAAAAGCAATAAAAAATTAAAAAATATGTATAAGAAAATAAAATTTATCTGCTATTTTAAGTAAAGAAAAAAAAATGAATTGAGTTCTTTTTACTATATCTACAAACTATGAGTTTGAAAAACATGCTCTACATTAATATATAAGTGACATAAACTAAATCAATACTTAATGAAAAAAATTCAATAATAACACATGCAAAGATAATTTTAAGGATTTTTAACATTAACTTATATGATCACTACCACAATTTGATGAAATCAAAAACCTATTTTACAATAAAAATAAAACTTAATTTTAAGATATAAGTAAGTTATTTTAAAAGTCTAAATTGTTGATTTTTTTTTTTTATTTTTAAATTGACAACTTGGAGAACTTAAAACATTTGTACAACACATTATTATTATGAATATTAATCACTTTAAATGTTGGATTTAAAATTTATTTTTCTTACTTGGAAGTATAAGGTAAATAACGATTACGGTGTGTATTCAAGTTTTGTGCTTTCTTGCGCCACTCATTGTTGAACTCCTCCGCTTCATCTGAAATATAAATTTACTATAATGTGAAAAAAATCCTTCTATGAATTACATTAGCAAATTAATCTCATATGTAGAAACTATATGTCTGTTATATTTTATATACCAATACACCATAATTGACATATGAGATGTGACAAAGATAAGTGATATAAGTACCAAAAATTAAAAAACAATTTTTATTACATCAAATTTATCTGTATATCCAAGCCTAAACAGTAAAAAAGTTAACATTAATAACTCTAAATTGTAGAAATGAGTATTCAAAGATTGAAATTTCAATAGCTCTTAAAGGCAAAATAGAATGGTTTTTATAGATTTCCTGAAAGTAACTTATTAGTATTTAGATCACTTGGCCCTGCCATACTTTATATATGTAATAAAATATTGTTAAATTGTTAAATACTAACTGTCATCTAAGTTAATCAATTCTTGGTTTTCCTCTCTTTCACCAGAATATACATTTTGTTGGCGTTCAATAATATGTCCACGATCACCAATATGATGTCCAATTGCCATTTTTTTAACACCAGATCTTGAATCACTAACTGATTTTTTTGTTTCTCTTATACCACCTGGACCTGTTCTTGTAGACGTGGATTCTTTGTAAACCTGTATTACAAGTGTATCAAAAATAGTTAAATATTAGTAAGATAAACTATTATAATTAAATATTTGTACCTGTGGTTGTCCATTAGGGCCGTTTGATGAATATGACATAAATGTTGTACTACTAAAGGATTGACTATGACCATTGTTCATCATATTCATTTGATTATTCATCATAGGCATCATTGATCCAAAATGATCAAACATACCACCACCAAATGGCATCATCATTCCACCCATTGGACCAGGCATTCCTCCACCAAAAACAGAGTTCATCATTTGATCCATTTGTCTCATAGATTGTCTAAAATAGAAAATCATGTAAAATAAATAGTAGAACAAAACTTTTTTTTATAACTAAAAAAAAATGCAAAAGCTAAAAGACGCATTTCAATTATATTTTATATTTTAAAAACTTCAATTTTAGTAAAATATTATGATATTTTATGTCATAACAACAATCTACTAAATTAATAAAACATTCTACCTCTTAGTTCTTACAACCCATACCTCATTATTTTAAATATTATTTGATTACTAGAAAAAAAATTGCATAATGTAAGGTTTGAAACCAAGATTCATTTAAAATAAAATATAAGATTTTAAATAAAATTAATACGATCACCAGGAATTGATGGCCGATTATAAAAAGTGTACCAGAAAATTGTATGAAAAAAGAGACATGGTATGAGATTAGAAACTGCAACCCAAGGTGTTGTTTAGACAAACCTTACCATTAGACTACTGTGCACGTACGGTTCAGATCCCAATACACTTTCATATAGGTTAATAATGTAATGTGCAGCTGAGAAGAACATGTTACTGTGTCAAAATTACGACAAGAGATAAAAAGTAGTTTTTTTGATATTAAATGCTTTCAAATGCCAGAATAGTGATCACAGGTTAAATAAGTGTTAAATAAAACCAATATTCTATATTATTACATTGGTTAAATTTATAAAGAATTTAAAATCTCATGAACAATAATTATTAACCACATAAATTAAAATTTCTCTTACCAATTTTAAGGTCATACAAAAATATATTTCATTTTCAAATTTTAAATGCCAAAAAAAATTGTGAGTCATCTTAGAGAAGTTTATAAAAATAATACAGTAAGTCATTGCTTTAATTACTTTAATTGTTAGTAGATATAATTAAAGTGATTGCTATATTAAAGAAGTCACATAAACTTGAATTGTACAAAAGGATAGTATTACCTGAATGGATCGTCATTACCAAACATGTCGGACATCAACGCAGGAAACATTTGGATTACTGACTTGATTATTTCAACAATTTATAAAAAAAACTTTAATAATATCAAAATTCTATAAATTTTTTAAGATAATAAAATTGTAGACAATAAGTGTTAATAAGATTTTTTATTTACAGAATCGAAAAATCATAGATAACCATATATATAAGTGCTTGTCTAAAACTAATATTTCACTGTAAAATACACAAAACAATGAATATAGATTGCAAGACTTCGGTGAATTTAAAAAATTTAATTTTGATTGTAATACTTCGACGACTTTGTCAACCAAAAAATAACTTTACTAGAGACAGCAGTCAATCTGTGATTCGCGAAAATTCTAGAAAGTTCATTGTATGTTCAGTGTTACCATATATATAACTATACATTTTCATGATTCCATTATTTTGTACCATAAATGGAAATGAATATAAAAATGTTTTACTAAAATTTGATAACAAAATTGTATCACTCTTTTCATATTTTTTCAATAAGCAAGCATTCGTTATAAGTCATTACGCCTGTTATTGTGTTAGTTTTCAATGACCTAGTAAACTTCAAGAGGATTAAAGAATTATTTAGTATAGATTCTAGAGCTTATGGACTATCAATTATGTTAAAGATATATTCATAGTATTAATAAAATTGTGATACTATAGTTACCAATAATTAATTTAATAATTTTGTTACATAATATTTAACTGTTATTGAAAGTATAAAAATGTAATTTAATTTTTATCTATTTGTTAAGTAGTATTATTTAATGTGAAATTCAACTATAAAAATCTTTATGTATTAAAATGATATTGTTAGAAATTTTCTGTCATCAGTATTTTTAACTTGAAATTCAGTACTTAAAATGATCATTATATAATTTATTAAAAATTTTAAGAATTAATTATTATAAGTGTTATTATTAAGGATTATTATCTTTCATTGCAAATCTTTTAAAACTTTTAATAATGCATAAAATACTAAGAAAAAAAATTCCAATATATTCCAGATTTTTTTCAGTGTCTAGTGTTTCTAAATGTTTAAATTTGGATTCTAAAATTTTCATATCTAAAGAACAATCTGTAGATTATGTTAAATCTTTTGTCTCCATGTGTCCAGAAGGGAAAATTGAAAATAAACGTCAAGCGGCTGTTCTTATACCTTTATGTTATGTGAATAATGAGTTATCTTTACTATATACATTAAGAACAAATAATTTGAAGAGAAATAGTGGACAAGTATCATTCCCTGGTGGAATGAAAGAAGATAATGAAGATCTTCGATTAACTGCCTTAAGAGAAACATGTGAAGAGCTTGGAATTAATGATAACAATGTAGAAATATGGGGTCATGGCAAATTTCTTTTATCACGAGATATAGCAATAATGCCATTCTTAGGAAATCTAGGTAATATAAATCCTAAAAAGCTAAATGTTAGTCATAAAGAAGTTCAATATGCTTTTTCTCTACCCTTAAAACACTTTTGTGAACCTTCAAATTGTAAATATACTTGTTTTAAACAAAAATACAATAGATTAATAGTTCTACCAGTTTACCTCAATGAATATAAACGAATTTGGGGTATGACTGGATACATGACTTGGTTAGCGTTGTGTTCAATCTTACCAAACAAATTTAAGCATAGACTATTAACACCAATAACTGTTAATTAATATTTTTGTAATTTTATTAAATATCTATGAATATATTGATTAAATATTTGCAACTTTTAATTGTATTCTATCTTCCCTCAAACTAATTAGTAGAGAAGTTTTTTTATGCTATTACAAGTTACATTTTTCCATAAGGCAAATGGTATTGGTACAAATCCACTATACCTGACCAATAAGCAAGGTAAATAACTTTATCTAATGGCATATTTATAAAGGTTCAAGTCTGACCACTTATCAGAAACAGATCTCGATCCAATCAATCACAAAAATAACAATGATCATTAATTTAATGGAATGTGAAATTATCAGCAATTATTGTGTTAAATAATAATCAGTTAATTTTTTATCAAAAGACAAAGTATGAAGAAAGTAAAGGTAAAAATGTGTTTGGTTTTATGTTTTAGAAAGTATATTATCAAGTACACATATTCACATAAGGAATCGGACTAACTGAAATTAATTGACGTTTTAATTGGCTTGCAAACTCGGCGTTAGGGTTGTGTCCTGCGCTTTTCAAGAACTGTGATTTAAAGTTGGTAATCATAAAAAAAATATTAAGAGCGTCGCATAAATTGTTTTACACAAGGAACTGTGAATTTTAGCATTGTCCCTATTGCCGTGTAATTATAATTTTAACATTATTAAAATAAATATAATATTAATACATTATCATACTTTTTAAACACATGTTTTTCTTCTATTTTAATGACTCATTTAAATGTTCTAGCTTTATCATCTACATTTTCTCAAAAAAATCATTTGAACATTTGAATGCGATCTAAGTAGTCAGATATCTAATACGTCAAAATGTGTGCTGCTAAATCATGTAAGAACATTTATTACTATGTTCTTACTCAGGGACGTTATTTCAGTTTTTTTTTGGGTGTGCAAAACTTCTAGTAGGCCATTTTGAAATTTCATCAGGCCATATAAAAATAGATATACCTACTTAAGTAAACAAAAAAAATCCAACCCAGCACAGGGGGATCGTGGGACAGTTGGGACGTGGCATAATTGGGACAAGTATATATAATATCTGACAGTGATTTGAAATTACTATCATATGAAACGTTTCGATGCAAATCTATAGATAGTATTTAATTCTAAGAAATTGGTGGATTATTTCAAAAGCAAAATAAACTCCTATTTTTTGTTCTACATTGACTACCATTTGTACATAAAAAATAGGTCGTTCCAAATTTTTTTTTTTTGAACTTCTAGTACATAAATCAAGCTTTATTTTAACATATATTTTAAAAACGCAGTATTCCCGAAACATTTTCAAGTTTTCGAAAATTCAAAGTCATTTTTCTTAACTTTGAGGAGGTAAAATAATCAGAATAAGTTTATATTTATATTTAATGTGGAATGAGAAATGAGGAACTAGAAGATTTAATTAGTGAGAAAGAGATAAGGGAGGCTGTGGCATCAATGAAAAAGAATAAAGCAGTAGGACAAGATGAAGTGCCAGTAGAAGTATGGAAAATATTAGGCGGTGTTGGCATAACGTGGTTGAAGGATCTTTTTAATAAAATCTTATTAGAAGGAAAAATTCCAAATTAATGGAGGAATAGTATTGTGGTGCTGATATTTAAAGGTAAAAGAGACATACAGGAGTGTGGAAATTGAATGTGATATTGGGACGGCTGATGTAAGTATAGATGATGAGGAAGATCATGTCAAGTGGAAGTTTTGGATAAGAGTGGCCGACCCTAAGTAGTTGGAATAAAGGCGAGGAAAAAGAAGAAGAATATTTATATTAAATGTTAGTTGGATTTATGTAACTTTGTTTTTATGTAAACATATCATAGTAAAATTAATACCTTTTCACATTCGCATCGAAGCTAAAACTGTTACGAATATCAATAGTTTAGTATGATATATGTATTGTTTACTCAATTAATTGTTACTAGAATATTTGTTTATTGAACCATGATAATACAATATTTTTGAAATTTGAATTGATAGATAAAAAATTGGTGCATTATTAATGCAGGCCAATTAGGACTGTTTTTAAAGTAAGGGGTACGGTTGCACACCCTGACTCCCCAAATGACACCCCTACAACATCAACTAACAAGTCTTAATAATAAGATATAGAACACAGACAATTTCGAAATTTAAGACATCGGTAATAGATTTGAGAAACCTTTAATAAAGAACATCTATAAATCTAAGTTAAAATATTACGCAAGAATTACTAACATACGTTATTAACTTAAAAAAGTTTACGTATGAACTTAAAAAAATACAAGTTGTTATTTTAAAATGTTTATTTATAGTTATATTTAATTAACATTTTAAGGTGACCCATGTACAGAAATACGAATATTTCTTAATTTAATTCACAAAAAATTACGTTAAAATTAAAACTTGCTGATGTATATTTTATCTAAATTATAACGTAGTGCCGTAATCAGCATTGATTGTCATAGCTATAGACGTAATATTTCCACACTTAAAGTTACAAAATAAATAATTAAAAATTACAAAAATAAAGTTACTTTAATATGACGTGACATTTTTTTAATCGGGGAAATTGTTTCTTTAATGGTAATATTTTTATAATATTGATTCCAACAACATTGTAAAAATTAGTTTTGTAGTTTTATTTTAAGATATTCTTTGAAAGAAATAGAAAAGTGAAGATAAATAAATTTCTATTTTTTTCTTTAAATACAATCCATTCAAAGTATTTAGTTTTTCGGTAGTTGTCATAATGATAAGAATATCAATGTTATCCCTTATCAATTTACCATTATTTCAAACGTGAACACGCACGTGGAGACTTGTTTTTGTAAACAAGCAATACTCGAAAGTTTTAAATAGCTAATAAAAAATAATATAAATAGTTTTTAAACAATTTAGGTCAGTTAATAAATTAATTAAAAAAACATGCGCCAGCCCACTTTGAAAAATTTAACGTGTCCCAATTATGGAAAACCTCCAGATTTTCATAATAAAGTCAGTAATTTATTGCAAAAAAAAAAAAAAATAACCATATGATGTGTATTTTATTTTCATATTGATTTATTACTTAGATATTACAAAGCTTGGGTTCTCCACATATTGATTCTTTTAACTATATGATAGAAGAAGGATTAAATCTAGCTGTTTCAGATTTATTACCTGTAGAATTTGATACAAAAGGAAATTATCGAGTTAAGCTAACATTATTGGTGAGTAAAATATTTTTGATCTTATAATTTTAAATAAATATTTATTTATTTATTTATATTATATATATTTATGTGTTAATAAATTTAGGAAGCAATTATACACGAACCTCGTGTACCAACAGGATCACTTGGTGTTACTTCTCATAATATATACCCTTTAGAATGTCGCCAACGTCACAGTACTTATTCTGGAAGATTAGAAGTAAAATTGAGTTGGTCTGTAAATGGAGAAGAGCAAAAGATTATAGATCGTGATATTGGTCAAGTACCAATAATGTTGAAAGTAATTACTGTAGTACTACAAATTCACTACATTATAACAAGTTATTTATATTTTGACCAATATGGAAAAATATATAGAGTGATCAGTTTATCATAATAACTACTCAATTATCTACAAAATAAAGATATCTTTGGGATTATTTTTTTTTGCTTTATTTAACTCCATATATTTCTGAATTTATCAATTATTAAGTACCTTTTTGATTATCCCTTATACATTACAAGAATTTCGACTTTATTTTTTTAAGGAAAACATACATATTAAAGTAATTTATAAAATGTAAAATTATCTAATTAAAAAAATGACTGGTTGATATGTGGCTTTTTGATTCTTATATAGAGTATTTTAAACTAGAAAATAGACTAATTTATTTAACTGAAGTTCAAATAATAGGTATTTCTATTCTTCCAGTACTTTTTTGTTAGAGTAAAAGTTTTTCAAATATTCTCTAAAAAGTCATATAATTAGTAACTTTTTTAATTAATTTTGACTTTTTTATTTAGTCAAAACTTTGTCATTTGTCAAAAATGAATCCTGAACAACTAGTTAGCAAAGGAGAACATCAAGATGAATGGGGAGGTTATTTTGTAGTGAAAGGCAAAGAACGTTTAGTACGTTTATTATTAGGAACTAGAAGAAATTTTCCTACTGCAGTTAAAAGGAACACGTGGAAAAATCGTGATCAAGGTTTCTCAGATATTGGTATCATGATCAGATGTGTAAAAGATGACTTAACTACTGTAGTAAGTTTTTTTTACAAAACTTAATAAAAAAATTTATGACATTTCATTAATTTTGAAGAAAATTCACTTAAGTAATTTTAAATACATTATATTTTAGACTAATACACTACATTATTTAACTGATGGTACAGCTAAATTAATGATACCAATAAAAAAAAAAATATTTTACGCACCTGTATTTTTGATTTTGAAATGTTTAACAAATAGTTCTGATGAAAATATTTTTCGACATATCATTAAAGGTTATGAAGATGATTTATATTTTAAAGGGTAAATTATCTATAAAAATCTATGATACTAAGTTTTATGGATATGAATGTTAATCAAAATTTGATTTGTGTAGGTCTATTATGGAAATGATGAGATCATTACATGAGAATAATGTACATAGTCAAGAAGATGCAATTGAATATATTGGAACCATGTTTAGACCAAAGTTTCCTGAATTACCTGAATGGAAAACCAATAAAGAAGTGTGTGATTATATGATGAGGTCAGACATTTTATAATCAAGGTTTGTTTATTTGATAGTTACATGTTGAATCTAATAATATTTAATTTTTAGGAGCTATGTTTTAATACATTTGCATAAAGATTATGATAAATTTAAACTACTATCATTTATGTTACAAAAGTTATTTTCAGTAGCTCAAAATAAATATTTATTAGAGGGAGCTGATGGAGTAATGATGCAAGAACTAATGCTTGGTGGTCATCTTTATTTAAAAGTAAAGTAAAAAAAAATTATAAATTTGTTATTATATTATATAATTTATTTAAATTTAATTATTTTACTAGATTTTCAAAGAAAAATTACAAATGTGGTTAGGCTTAATAAAAATTAATTTATTGAAGTTTGATCAAGGGGGTCTGCCATCTATTGGTGATATGATGACTGCATTAAAAAGATGTGATTTTATAGAACATACAATGAATAGTTTTTTTGCTACTGGTAACCTACTAAGCTCATCTGGTTTAGGAATGCAACAAGATAAAGGTAATAGCTAATCTTATTCAATTCTAGAATTAACCCTTACAAAGTTTCAGAAGAACTATTTACAAATTATTTTTAAAAATGTTTAGGGAGGGAGAAATCAGATATAAGATCCTCCAAGAATTTTTTTGAAATTGTGCTTATGGTAGCTAATTAATTGAATAATACTTTTAGTTATTATTTTTCTTTACTAAAATGTATATTATGGGCAAAAAAATGTTAAATATAAATTATTGGAAATCTAAATAAATTCTATTATTTATAATAATTTTGGAATAAATATATAATTTTAAATGTATCCTTCATATGATTTTTAGTACGAAGGAAATTACTTTTTTTTAACTTTAATTCACTGATTAAACCAAAATTTATTAAAGTCACATTTTGATAATTAAATTAACTATGTAAAGAAGATAAGAAAAAAGTGTTTTATAGAAAGCAAAGACTCGATTTAGGTTACTGAACATAAAATTTAGTAAAATTAATTTTAAAATAGTTTTTAAAGGAAACATATTTAAAAAATATAGTTATTTTCTGTTATAATAACAACATTTTTCATTTTACTAAAACAAAATTATATGATTTGAATTTTTTTTTTTGTTGATGGTTATCAAATTATGATTTGTATTCTTATAAATATTTTAGTGAAGGTTGTATTTATTGATAAAAATATGAAAAACTAGCATAATACTTCTCTTAGAAAATCTCAGTTTGTCTATTTAATTAGGAACTGTCCTAAATATTTGAATCTACATATTCACAATCTACATAATCGATATTTTATTGCCTTTTTAATTGGTAACAACTTAGAAAAACATAGACTAATGGAGAATTTCACTCTCAACTACTATGATTTTATATCAAGAAAGCTTCTTTTGGACCCTTTCCATAAATTTATTATATATGATTAACTTATGGCAGTGGTATGGTTAAAATAAAAAATAAAAAATGGTTTTTATATAACTATAGGCTATCATAATAGTAATTGTTTTTAATATACATCTTATTATTTATTTTAAATCTGATTTTTTAATTTTATATCATTTATATAAAAAAATAATTTATTAATAAAAATAAATGAATAATATTATTTTAAAATCCCATTTTTCTGTTATAATTGTAAAATCTTTATTCAAATTCCAGGATTAACAATATTAGTGGAAAATATCAGTAGAATGCGTTATATGGCTCATTTCCGTGCTGTACATAGAGGTGCTATATTTGAGTCTATGAGAACAACTGAACCTAGAAAACTGTTACCTGATGCCTGGGGCTTTATATGTCCTGTTCATACACCTGATGGAACACCTTGTGGGCTTTTAAATCATTTAACTAAATCTTGTGTTGTAAGTATTATTTAAAAAATTGTAAATAATTTAAAATAAATTTACTGAAATAATTTTGAAATTTAAGGTATAAATATAAATTATTAAAACAAAATATTTAAACCTTAATTATTAATTAGGAATTAAATCTATTTTTCTACATATATTCCCTTACATTTATCTCCTCAACTACTTGAGATCGAAAAACAATTGAAAATAAAAATATAATGTAAAAATTGTAAGCTTAACTCAAGTATTGTTATTTTCTAACCATTTTAATTTAAAATTTGTTGTTCACTTTGATATATTATTTAATAGCCATTTCAATTTGAACAACCAATTTTCAGTTTTATTTTATTTATAAAAAAAATAACTACAAGTTTAAATGATAAGTATTAGTAATATTTTTGCTATTAAGTAGTATATTTAATTAAAAAGTTTTATTATTTTGTAATATTTATTTTTATTCCATATATACATTGGATTTTTTAAGAATACTACCCTGATTTTTTCATTAATATATACTTTTTTTAATTTTAAAAAATATGTTGCTGGAAGTTTTTAATTTGATTATCTCTAAACTAACAAGATTAAGTTTTTATAAGTAGTTTTTGTAAATTTTTGAAATTCAATACTAATATTGATGATGCAATTTTTTATTAGTTTTAAATAATTTATTTTATTTTACTAATTTTTTTTCATTTAATTTAGATTCAAAAAAATTATTTCTGTACATACTATTGGTTAAGGCTTAGTTGATATTTGAATTATAAATTAGTTAAATACATTGCTTGAAATGTTTGAGGATATATCCATGTTTGCAGTTGAATTCTGACATTTCGGACTCATTGCAGAGTCCGAAACGTTAGAATTCAACTGCAAACATGGATGTATCCTCAAGCACTTCAAGTAACAAGACAATCCACAAAAGCTTTAACACATTCATAGTTAAATACATACTTGCTAATAATATATATATTTTTTTAAACAAGGTAACAAAATCTATTAATAAAAAAATATTAAGAGATATACCCAAAGTATTAAAATCTCTTGGTATGTGTGATATTTCTTATAAACCTCAAGATGTTAGTATTGGATATGAATATACTGTTATTCTTGATGGTCGATTAGTTGGCTATGTCCCTGAAACAATTATGGGTTTATTTATTAAAAAGCTGAGAATGCTTAAAGTTCAAGGAAAACTGGTAACTTATAAGCTTTATAGATATCGGAAAGTTAAATTAAATTATTTTGTTTGATATAAAATTTAGATTCCAGATACTACTGAAATAGTATGGTTACAAAAAAATAATGACAATGTTTTAAGTCAATTTCCTGGTTTATTTTTATTCACTGGAAGTGCTAGAATGATGAGACCTGTGTTAAATTTAGAATTAAAACGTGTAGAGCTTGTTGGTACATTTGAACAAGTTTATCTTGATATCAGTATTTCAGACGAGGAGATTAGACCTAAAGTAATATTCAATTTATATTCTCATTAAATATGTTTTATTTATTTGTTTGTATTGTATATTATTTTAGATAACAACTCATAGAGAAATTACCAAAACAGATTTTCTTAGTCATTTAGCATGTCTTATACCTCTACCAGATTACAATCAAAGTCCTCGTAATATGTATCAGTGTCAAGTAAAGTGTAACATTACTTTTTATTCTATATGTTTTGTACATTTTATTAACTATTAAAATCCTATGAGTCAATTTTTACTAATATTTGTTATGTGTAATATGTATTATTATTATTATTATTTATTTAAATTGGCTAATGTCCAATAACATGTAATGCATGGGTTGTGATTTATATAGGATTTTATCCTGGGAGAAAGGTTTTATATAAGATAAACTTGTCTTACCTCCTTCAAATAATATCTAAGTCATGAAGTTTATATAAGTCTTAAGGTGTGGTTGAATTTGAAAACTACTTAAAAAATATCCAGGGGAGTAGGTATTTAAAATTACACAACAATATATTCTTGTGAAATATAATTTTTGGAAATATATACATTTACTTTTACAATATACAGAATATTTGTTATAACAAATTGCTATAGTTATCCATGTTAAAGTAGCAGGCATATTTTTTAATACAGGTTGCTAACTGTTGTGTTTAAAATGTGTACATTAACAGCTATATTTTGATTATAGTCAAATACAGTATAAATGGCTGATAAACAATGAAAATAAATGATATTTAAATAGGGCAATTTATTAAACAGAATATAATAAAAGTTTTTTATATACAGTATAGTCTATAATATTTTGACAAATCTAATAATTTTTGATCCAGCAAATATTTTGTTATGTTTTTTTACAGTATTGAATTACATTAAAAATGTATTTTTTATTATTTGTTTGCAATAAAAAAAATTTGTTTTCAACATTTCAAAATCATCATTTTTTAGTTCGATAATAACTTTAGGATATATACTTATTGAGTTACAAACATTTTAGTACAAAGAGTGGGTATGTAGTGAAAATAGAGTGCACAAAAACGAATAAAATTTATACCTACCAGTGTTGCATACTTATTATGTGCATTGCAATACTTGTAACTCAATAAGTACTTATCCTACAGTTGTTATCAATACATCATAATTTTTTGTAAGAAAAGTCTTAAAATTGGCTTTTTTAAATTTTCAAAATAATAAAAAAAAAATGGAAAAATATTTATATATTTTTTTTAATTGAAGATAAAAAATTCTATTTTAACAAAAATTGTAAAACTGTATAAATAAGTAACGCATAATATTTTCTGGATAAAAAATTATTTGATATGTCAAAACATGGTAGACTATTGTATAAATACAAATGGTGGACTTTTTTTTTGTCTTTGTTGTGTAGTATTTATCTCTTAATTTTTAAATGGTTAAATACTTTTTAGATCCATTATTTCCCTTATAACTATATCTGTAATGGCAACATTATAAACTAGTTTATAAAATAGAAAATGATCTAATTAAAAAAATGACTGGTTGATAACTTTTGTAAATATCAAATTATTTAAACTTAAAAATAAAGAATTGAAGTGAAGTGACTTGCCTGTTTATTTTTATCTGTGAGCATTACTGAACCACTCTTGTTCTCCCTTCACAATTACAAAATATTTTTATCTCTTAAAATAATGGTTTAAAAATTGTTATCAACGAGTCATTTTTATAGTTAGATCATTTTCTTATTAATTTCATATTTATATCTAGGTGAAAAGATGAATGCGACAAAGAAATGTCTAATAATAAAAATAATCATACTCACACTTTACCTTTAGTCTAAATTTTAAAATACTAATAACTTCCAAAGTAGTGGTCTAAAAGTTGTTATGGACCAGCCTTTATCTTGATTAGATCATTTTATATTTTATAAACTAAATTAATATGTATGTTATCCTAATAGGGAATAAGGGACACACCTAAAAAAATATTAAACCACTTATAAACCAAGTGATAAATACTACTAAACAGAGTCCAAACAAATATTTCCATGATTATTATTATTTTGGGAGAAACTTTTTGGTCAATGATAAATACAATTACTCTGTACATTTTTTGGGAATATTTTGATATTATAGTAGTTTATATAAATTATAGATGGGTAAACAAACAATGGGTACTGCTTGTCATAATTGGCATTTACAATCTGAAACTAAATTATACAGACTTCAAACTCCAGCATCACCATTATTTAGACCATTACATTATGATGAATTGTCAATGGATGATTTTGCAATGGGTACAAATGCTATAATAGCTGTGATATCTTATACGGTATAATATAATCTTTAGTAAGTAACTAGAATACTTAAATTTTCAGTGTCGTTTTTTTTTTAGGGATTTGATATGGAAGATGCCATGATAATTAACAAAATGGCTTTAGACCGTGGGTTTGCTCATGGTTCCATTTTCAAAACTGAAATGATTGAAACCCAAGTAAGATTTTAATAGACTTATTTGTTTATAAAATTAAGTTTAAAAAATGGTTTTTATTTAGCCAAATACATATTTTATGCTTGATCCAAATAAAGAAGGACTTAGTGAATTTTTAGGATCAGATGGGCTTCCCCATGTAGGTTTAGTATTAAAAAAAGGAACACCTTATTATAGGTATTTATATATTATGTACAAAATTGAATAATAATAATCTACAAAATTTTATTTTTCAACAGTTTTTTTAATGAGCAAACACAAGGGTTTATTGTTGCCAAATATTCAAGTAGTGAAGAAGTAATTGTAGATTCAGTTCGTCTATGTGGAGATTTTACTACTGGGCGGAAAATACCTAACAAAGCTACAATAACTATTAGAGTTCAAGTTAGTTTTTATGAATAATTTTGTAATTTTAATGTTTTTAAACTCAGGTAAATTTACTGATTGTAAAGTTCTCAATAAACTTAATTAATATTTGTAAATATTTAAATCCAGTACAACTAAATTAAAATAGTTAAGTCTTAAATTTAACTTTCTAAAGAATTATTAATATCCAGTAATTAATTATTAATAACTAATATTATTAATATTAGTTTAAATATAATTCGGTAGGAGAATTATTTAAATACAATAGACCTATAGAGCTGAGTACCTGGGTAGTTCTTATCTATCTCTATAACAATTAAACTAATTAATATTGGTATAGTTTTTAGAAAATACTTTTTATAATTTCATAATATTTTTAAATTTAGAGGAATCCAACTGTTGGTGATAAATTTGCTAGCAGAGCTGGGCAAAAAGGTATATTCAGTAAAGGTTGGCCAGCTGAAGATTTACCTTTTACAGAAAGTGGAATGGTACCCGATATTGTTTTTAACCCTCATGGATTTCCTTCAAGAATGACTATTGGTAAAAACATTAAATTTTATTTTTATAATTTTACATAAGAAGTCTTCTTAAAGAAATTAGAAAGAAATGATTTTATTCTAATTTACTAGAAGAGTGATCAATATTAGTTACATTATGATATATAATCAGTTTTACATCCTTTTATTTCCTGAATTTAACATGCTACAGAGGGTGGTGGTAGCCCTCTTTCACGTGTTAAATATCAAAGATTGTTCTTGGCTAAGCCAATGATGAACAAGGTGGATATTGTAGTCGGTTTGCATCAGAGACCAAACATCATCAATGAGAAAATCACAAAAAAAACTCATTGGCACCCTGGGGATCGAACCCGGGACCACGCGCTGAAATATACATTAGGCCAGGCCGAACCCTAGTTACTTAATGTAATAACTATTTAGAAACTGAAAGTTTTTTCATAAAATTTTATGATAACACTTTTTGTACACCTTAGTCAATGTTATGAAATTGACTTAAAATGTAATAGTTTAATTGAAAAAAGATTTTGTCATGAAAAGTACATTTTGAAAATTTGCTCTATCATTAAGTTTTATTGTTGAAAAATGATAAAATAGTCAAAATTGTAAATAAAATATACAAATTATGGCACATACGTATCTATAGAGCGGCTAAAGAGAGCGATTGCCCCGTTTTCCATTTTTTTAGGGACGGAATTAGATTTTTACATAGCATATCTTCTGTTAATGAACAATAATATGAATTTATAATACCATAATATAATATTAATGAATACTAACATTCTGAAATTATAATATCTAGCACTATTGTTAAAGACAAGATTTGTAAATAAGAAAGATATCTATTATCTATTATGGAACCGTGCTCTTACCTGTTACCATATAAAGGAGCATACTTTACAGGAAAATAATTGCTTCATGAAAGAAGTTCTTTTATGTTTAAAGTCTTATTTGTTATTGTAAAGGGTGATCATCAGAAGGTAAGGTGGGTAGGTAAGAGAGACTTATCTAGGTGGTAAGAGGTGGCTTTACTCCGCCAAAACGTGATTGGCAATATTTGAATTTTTTTAGTTAAGCATACATGTTTTTTTGGTAACAAAAAAAAATTTTGTGAGGGAGAGGAACACATTAGCACTTAAGCGCTAAATTTCTGATTAAATTTCTGGATTATAGTGAAGAAAAGTGATTTTAAAATGATAGCCTCATAGATAATATAGATGAGTACTGAGTAGAAAGCCTTTCACATCAAAAACGCCGGACAAAATAAACACAAACAAATTGACTCAATTGAATAGACTAATAAAATAAATTCATCTAATTATTAGCTTTAATGCAAAGCTGAGAAGGTATTTTACCATAAAGTGGTTTTTTTTTTGTGTGTGTCTGTTGCCACTTTTTCTCAGCTCTCACTGGACCGATTTTGATGAATAATATGTCAAAAGATCACAAATTGTACTTAATTGAAGACATTACCCTTGAAAATTGAAAATATTTCCCTCGTTCCCCGTAAATGGGGGAAATCTTCCATTTAAAAAAATAGAGCTTTTCTGATAAATTTACTGTAAATAATAATCATAAAATTTTCTAACTACATATTAATCTTAACAATTCCATTTTTTCTATTAAATGATGTCAATTTCAAACTTGCAAGTTGAGCTAAAAGTTATGGTAATAAATTAATTTTTTTTTATTATAAACTTTCACTTAAAAGGACAAAAATAAGTAGGTTAAAAATTATTACTTTTAACATATTAAAAATCAAAATCAATAATAATTTGAAAACAATTAATTAAAAAAAACCCAGCACGGGGGGTCGCGGCACAATGATGACGTGGCATAGTTGGATCAAGTATAATGATATCTGACAGTGATTAAAATCACTATCAAAAAATAAATGTAGTTTAAAAAAACACGCTTTTAAAGCACATCGAACTAAAAAGTTAAAAATAATTTTTAAAATAAGTTTCAAATAATTATGAAAAAAAAATCTAGTATTATTGTGATAAAAGCGTGGGTGCTTTGTGCCATATTTTTCGTATATTGAGCGCCTGATGCTTTTATCACAATAATACTAGATTTTTTGTTCATAATTATTTGAAACTTATTTTAAAAATTATTTTTAACTTTTTAGTTCGATGTGCTTTAAAAACGTGTTTATTTAGTTGTTTTAAACTATATTTATTTTCCACTTTTTAGTTTCATGTTATGATAGTAGTTACTATCAATATCATGGTTGTAACGGGTAACGGGAAATCAGGGTTCGATTCCGGGGAGGGTGTCTGAGAAACGGCTACCACATCCAAGGAAAGCAGCAGGAGCGTAAATTACCCACTCCCGTAACATGGAGGTAGTGACGAAAAATGACGATACTGGATTCATCCTTTGTAATCGGAATGAATGAGTTCTATGTCTCTAAATAAGAATAAAGTGTGTTAATATATATTTTTATTAGTAATTAGAATATATATATATATACATGTAAAGCGACATAAGTACGTAAACGTATCATGCATTAGGTACAGTCGTGTTTTGTGGGCGGGCGAGTCGGACTAACGTTATACTTGAGGTATTAACGGCGNTCACAATAATACTAGTATTTTTTGTTCATAATTATTTTAAACTTATTTTAAAAATTATTTTTAACTTTTTAGTTCGATGTGCTTTAAAAACGTGTTTATTTAGTTGTTTTAAACTATATTTATTTTCCACTTTTTAGTTTCATGTTATGATAGTAGTTACTATCAATATCATGGTTGTAACGGGTAACGGGAAATCAGGGTTCGATTCCGGGGAGGGTGTCTGAGAAACGGCTACCACATCCAAGGAAAGCAGCAGGAGCGTAAATTACCCACTCCCGTAACATGGAGGTAGTGACGAAAAATGACGATACTGGATTCATCCTTTGTAATCGGAATGAATGAGTTCTATATCTCTAAATAAGAATAAAGTGTGTTAATATATATTTTTATTAGTAATTAGAATATATATATATATACATGTAAAGCGACATAAGTACGTAAACGTATCATGCATTAGGTACAGTCGTGTTTTGTGGGCGGGCGAGTCGGACTAACGTTATACTTGAGGTATTAACGGCGGTAAGAATATATACGTAAGCCATATGCACGCGGATGATAATGGTCAGTCAAAATAAAAATTTGTTTATATATACATAATATTGATGACACGCACGTGTGTACGGGTACGATAACCAAAAATAAATTTAGATAGGAATAGTATTGCCGGCGTGTAATTAGTGTAGCTTGGCGTGGGGTGGGGTAGGATTAATGTGTTATGACAGTCTAGTCTAGACGACGGAATATGCGATAACGCGTGGCGTTTGGAGAGTTACAAACATACATACAGATGAAACTAATATATAAGCGTGTTAAAAAAGCTTCGATGCAAATCTTTAGATAGTGTTTAATTTTCAAAAATTGATGGATTATTCTACATGGATAAAAGCTACATGATCTGCTATTTCCTTATTAATATCCTGATTAAGATAAAGTATGGCGAATGAAATATGTATATAAATACTACTTCTCATGAAAAAATTGTATTGATCTATACATTTTTTAAAAAGTTATAGCATTATAAAGTAAAAAATGTAAAATATAAAATCGAGAATTTTCACACAAAAATAGCATTCAGTAGCCATTTTTACCGTGAACTCAAAATAAAGTCCGAAATTTTTTTTTCCATCATAAAGTATATTACATTAGCTTTAATTTAAGATATATATAAAAATGTGAAACTTTCCAGAACAATTTCAAAAGTTAGGTTGAAAAAGTAAATTTTTTGTAAAAAAGTTGTCATTTTAAATTCCTCCCTGGGCAGTAAAGGGTCAGAAGGGTCAGGTATAAAAAAAATATACCAAATGATAGGGAAAGACTTCAAGCATCTATATAAAAAAAAATTATATAGATTTATTCATTTTTGAAAAAGTTATGGCAGTATTAAGTAAAAAAATTTCGAAAATTTGCGATTTTTAAATTTGTAATTTTTTTGGAGGTTTCCCCCATTTACGGGGAACGAGGGAATTTTTTTCAATTTTTAAGGGTAATGTCTTCGACTAGATACAATTTGTGATCTTTTGACGTATCGTTGAAAGAAATCTGTTCGGTGAGAGCTGAGAAAAAGTGGTAACAGACACAAAAAAAAAAAAAAAAAAAAAAAAAAAAAAAACACTTCATAGTAAAACCAATACCTTCTCAGCTTCGCATCGAAGCTAAAATTATATATTATATTTTTGAATCTAAGAATTAATAATCTGGATATAATTAAGGAAGTATAAGTTGATGTTGCTTTTGTAATTATCCACCAATTTCTTAAAATTAAACACTACAGATTTGCATCGAAGCGTTTCTTATGATAGTGATTTTAATGACTGTCAGATTAAATCTATACTGAGCCCAACTACGGCCATGTATCCACTGTGCCAAAATTGAAATAATTGTTTTTTTTTTTATTAATAAACATTTTTTTTCATAAAAGAAATTACTTTTGCAAAATAAAACAATGACAAATTTAATCAATTTCTTCTTTGTATTATTTTTATACAAAATATTCTTTTTACATGAAGTATTTTCAAATATGTAAAAAAAATACTATTTAATTAAACAGTATTTAATGAAACACTTTTAATCATGCAACTCTTTGAGATTTTGAACTATCGTTTTTTTGTGAGTACCCCAAAAATTTATGCAAAAGAATAAAATTCCGACATCTAATTATGATAAACACAAATTTCACTTATAAATAACGTTTTTTCGTAGCTATGATGATAGAATGTATGGCAGGAAAATCAGCTGCAGTGCATGGTGTCGTTCATGATGCTACACCCTTTAAGTATAGTGAAGATGATACAGCAATTGATTACTTTGGACAATTATTACAAGCTGGTAAGAGTATTGTATTTTTCAATTTCCTTAATTTTATTTCGATAAATTGAATAAAGTGTTCAAAAAACTAATTGTTCTTTAAAATAATTTTAATAAAAATATTGACTATATTTTAATCAGTTTTTCATTTTAAGTAAAATTAAAACTATATTAAAAATATTATTAATTTAAAAAACTAAAAAATATTAAAAATATTTTCATTTTATTTTATCTATTTATTTAAATTTCTCATTGTTTATAATTTAAAATGTCATTTTTAGATTCGATGCAAATCTGACAAGGTATTAATTTTACTATGATCTGTTTTTTTTTATGTCTATCGCAACTTTTTCGCAGCTCTCACCGAAATGATTTCTTTCAACAACACTTCAAAAGATCACAAACCGTATCTCGTTAAAGACATTACCTTTAAAAATTGAAAAAAATTTCACTCGTTCCTCGTAAGTGATCCTCCAAAAATGTCAATTTTTATAATGGGTAAATTTGACTTTTCTTTCATAAAACTGCCATAACAAAGGAAATAGGAGTTCATTTTGCTTTTGAAATAATCCATCAATTTCTTAAAATTAAATACTACATATTTGCATCGAAGTATTTCTTATGATAGTGATTTTAATCACTGTCAGATAACATTTATACTCTTACCATTTATGTCACGTTTACACTGTGCCGCCATTATACTGTGCTCCCGTTTTTTATTTTAGCCTCGCTGCGAAGCTGAGAAGGTATTAATTTTACCATGATGTGTTTATTTTTATTTTTGTGTCTGTCACTACTTTTTCTCGGCTCTCACTGGACCGGTTTTTCTTAACGATACATCAAAAGATAATAAATCATATCTAGTTGAAGACATTACAATCAAAAATTGAAAATGTTACCCTCGTTCCCCGTAACTAGTGAAAATCCTCCAAAAAATTACAATTTTTAAAATCGGTAAATTTCTACATTTCTTAAACTTTTTTTTCTAAAAACTGCTATAACTTATTGAAAAATTAACAAATCCAAATAATTTTTTTTTATTGAAACCATAGATATTTCTCTTTCATTTGATATACATTTTTTGAAAGTCTAGCCCTTTATCTGCCTACAGGGGGGGATTCAAAATATCAACTTCTGCATCAAAATTTTAATTTTTCAACTTAACTGTTGAAAATATTCCGGAAATACTCCATTCAAACATATGCTAAAATAAAGCTAAGTTTATGTACTATAAGTTAAAAAAATAATTGCCCCGACGACTTGTCTTATATGGTTGTCGTAGTTAAAAAAACATGCAATTTTGGTGTTAAAATTTACGATTTCATATTTTATTTTTTCAACTTTAAATTGCTATAACTTTTCGATGTGTGGATCAATACAATTATTTTTTCATAAATACTTTATCTCTATTTCTTTCATTTGATATGCATTTTTTGAAAATCTGACTTTTGACCTGACTACAGGGGGGATTCAAAATAAACAATTTTGCACACAAGTTAAACTTTTTCAACTCAATACTACACTACTAAAAAAAAAAATCGAGATATAGTGAACATGGTTATTATATTCAAAAATATGCTATTATTGTGTTAAAATTCTTGGTATTGTATTTTAATTTATTTTAATATACCTTATAATTAGGTACACTGATTTTCATGAATTATATATAGAACTAATTAACATTGAATATAAAGTTACACTTATTTCAATTTGTTTTCAATTCTGTGGCAATGATTTTTTTGCAATTTTTTCTTAATTTTCTTTAGTTAGAAGTTTGCTTTTGAATAATCCACCAATTACTTAAAATTAAACACTACCTACAGATTTGTATCGAATCGTTTCTTATGATAGTGATTTTAATCATTGTCAGATATCATCTATACTAGTCCTAACTATGCCGCGACCCCACTGTGCTACCGTTTTTATAATCATAGTGTATAAAATGTATGTAAATTTTGACAGTAAAAGATTTATGAATATGAATAAATATTTAGGTGGATATGACTATTTTGGTACAGAACAAATGTATAGTGGAGTAGATGGTAGAGAAATGAAAGCAGCAATATTTTTTGGTGTAGTACATTATCAAAGATTAAGGCACATGGTATCAGACAAATGGCAGGTAAATTTTAGCAACTAATAATTTTAAAAAAATGTTCAAACTCGAAACGGATTTTTCCATTAGGTACGTAGTACAGGCCCCGTAGATGCAGTAACTAAACAACCAGTTAAAGGTAGAAAAAGAGGGGGAGGTGGTAGAGTTGGTGAGATGGAAAGAGATGCATTAATTTCTCATGGTACTCCCTTTTTAATGCAAGATCGTTTTATGGATTGTTCTGACAAATCAACTGTAAGTATTAGCAGTGCTTACATAAATATAATGTCAGTATAACCGTTTTTTCTTCATATTAGGCTCTTATTTGTATGAAATGTTTTTCAATTCTAACACCCATGATACATTTTAAAGAAGATAGCTATGCAAGTAAAATAGCATTATGCAGGATTTGTAATTCCAAAAGTATACAAGAAATTGGGATTCCGAATGTTTTTAGATATTTATGTTCTGAACTTGCTGCCATAAATATTAAACTAAAATTCAATATTGAAGTGTAATTTTAAATATTTGAATAAATGATTTTTTACTCGATAGTTATTATCGTGATACTTAATAGTCAAATGTTAAGAATCAAGTAATTTTTTTAGTTTATTTTTCTAGTGTTTTTACGAACCCCTATGAGATCGAAGTCGATCAGAACTGAACAATCCAGATATTTAATCGAATCAAATATTAATTTTGATAGTTTATAGGTAAAACATTTTTTACGTCATTCTTCAACAAATTCTGCACAATTTTTGGTTATGCTAGTTCGATTTTCAATCCGATTTATAAGGAAAAAGTTTGTTTCGATTTTTTTCAATTTTTGAATCGAGCCGTATACGGAGAATTCGGCGTTCATAATATTAATTATAAAAAATAAAAAAAAATTATCTTTTAATTTAATAAATTGTTTTGTAAGATTTTATAACTCGCAACAATTATAAAAATTGACCAATAAAAAATCACAGTGTCATCTGTCTTACTGCGGATGCCCATGATAACAATATTTGAATCAGTATTTCAGAAGTTAAAAAGATTTTTTTTAAATGTGAATTTGAAGAACGGTGTGGATACGATTATTTGCATCATTAAACATTTCTCGCACGTACTCCTGACCAAGCCTTTAATATTTAATAACGATCAATATTTATTTAAAGAGCAATTCTTATATCATTTTAGCTAGTCAATGAATCGAGATAATAAAAATAATGAGAATTTTACATTTAATTTCCTTATTTCCATTTTATTCTTAAATCGTGAAGTATTTATCGTGTTCACCCCATATACATTATAAGGGTGTCAATTTTGACAAATGGAAATATACATATTTAACTAAAAATTGATATAATTAAGAATATTACTGGTCGATAACAACTTTTGAACCAGTATTTCGGAAGTTAATAACAATTTAAAGTAGGTAATGGCTGGTGGTAAAACGCGGATTTGGTTATATTTATCATAAGATATTTCCACTCTTCCAACGGTTTTATAAACAAATTTTCGATTATGTGGTCAATGATAAAAGAATCACCTTGCATAGAATATACAAGGGTATTTGAGACATATTAAGTTACTACATTAATTTGAAGAAACTTGTTTTCTTATCACTAGATGTTGGAACTATGTTAATTTACATAATTGGATAGATTTGATTCAGTTAACGGGAAAACGATCAACTAAATGAACTCTGGATGATAATAATTGTGTGTTTAAAGAAAAAATTAATACGTATCCTAAAAATTAAATTAAATTTTTTTAACCGTATTTTACAATAAAATTATGATAAAATCAATGCTGAACTCTTTAAATTTAAATTAATATTACTATATTATCGATAAACGTATTATTCTTAACTATTATGTAGGTTTGACAAATTAGAAATTACATTTATTACTCCAACTAATCGCCTTTTTTAAAAAAAGTAAAACATCTAAAATAGGTAAGTATCTTTTCAGTGATACAAAGATGTGAAGTAGTATTAAAATATTTATAAATACGTGTAGAATGATTACGTGTACATATAACACGTGGAGTCACTTTGAAATATCTACATTTCTTTTAACGATTGTTGACCTTATTATTACATTGTTTTACTATAAAATTTCGCGAAAAATAAGGTTTTTTATACTTCATAAAATGTAAAGTTTAAGCATTTAATATTAACTATTATTACACTCAATATTATTTGTTGATGTACCTTTTTGTTTTATTATTTATATACATGTGTAGTGGCATTTTTATAATTTGATAAACAAGTTCTTTTGGTTTATTGATTTTAAATTAGTTATTCTATGAAATACTTACTATCACAGTAACCAATTGTGATTTAACCAAAATTTTAATGAACTATTTAATATGAAGGACAATATAGTAGATCACTCATATTTACCTTTACTGTATCAATAATCAGGTTTTTTTTATGTTCAAATATTAGCAAAAATATTTATTTTAAAGTCATTATGATCACTAGCAGATTTAGAGGGGTTCCGTGCATCTAGATTCCCAGACATAGATTTCTACAATATATAATATTTAGGGTACGACACATTTAGAATAAATTTAATATTTTTAGGACTTCCTTTAGAACAATGTTGAAAATTCAACACTGATTATAATGATTTTAAACTAAATAATAAGTAAATCTTCTGTTCATCACTATATTTTGTGATCAGATTCATTTTTCAGTATTCAATTAAAAACTGTCCCTGAACTGATTGTTAAAGTTTTGATTACATATTGCAAGCAAGAACAAATCATTGGGAAATATGACTAGTTTTCCCATATTTATTTATTTAATTAATTTGAATTAGATTATTATTGATTTCAATTATACTTTGACCCCTAACGATTACACTATTTAGATAAATCAAAAATTAATTATATAATATAATTTTAGATGAGTTTCATTGTTATTAATCTCATTATTAAAAATTACAAAATATTAACGGTATCATACAATTTAAAAATGTTAACACAATGATAAGTCAATATAATTGCCAAAAGTTTGACCTAGTTTCTATTTTAGGAGTAAAGCATTGACATAATTATGTAGTTGCCAAATTATCAATAATTATTTTAATACATTAATACAACATATTCTATTGTTTCTGATATTTTTAAAATTTCAAGTGTGCTATTGAAAATTATTTCAATGTCTCTTTATCTAAAACAACATTTGAAATACTATAAAATAATCAGATATTCTATAACTAACTCAGTGTTTAAGTTAACCTTGATTTTATATTATAATTTCACAAATTAAAAACTAAAACAATAAGCCACTACATCAATGTACATAATAAATTAACTAAACAGGTAATGTCTTAATTTAGATATTGTACAAGTACAATAAAGATAGGCATATCACTTAGGACAGTAACAACAATAAAATAACAAGTTTTCTTTAACTTAAAGATTTATCTATTACATATCATTTAGTCTGCAGATTTTTATTAATACTGATATTACGCAGTGGCTTTTTTCAAGTAAGCTATGACATTTTTTCTTTCTGCTTCTTTTTTAATGCCAGCAAACACCATTTTGGTTCCAGGAATATATTTCTTTGGGTTTTCTAAATACTCGAATAAGGTTTGCTCACTCCAAGTGATTCCTAAGTTATAAAATAAGTATATACAGTTATAAATATAAAATCCTTCATCAAAGCTATCTATTAAGTTAAATTTTATTTTTTATAGTTATTTCAATGGTTCATAGATAAAAATCTCAATTTTAGTAAAATAAACAAGGATGTAAAATTTGCATGCTACAAAATTTAAATACTACAATTTTTAGAATATTACAATTACAAGAAATTAATTTCATTTCAAAATATATTGAATATTGACTTGTTAAAATTTAATTAATATTTGAATAAATTAAAAATTAGCAAATTTTCATTGAGTTTAAAGAAATATTGACTAGAATAATAACTAACAATTATTTGAAAAATAAAAAAAAACTTTCAAGAATAAATGGGTATTTATTAAAAATTAACAGAAAATTGTCAAAAAAATTAATTATGTGTATTTAATATAGAATATTTTGTTTTAGTATAAAATAACACTTCGAACCTTTTTGTCGATTTGCATCAGTATATGTAAAACCAACTGCTTGGCCTGTCTTACGACCAAATAGCCCATGTAGGTTAGGTCCTACTTTGTGTTTACCACCTACTTCAACCGTGTGGCATTGAGAGCACTTGGTTTTGAAAACCTAAAGTTTAACAAGACCTAAAGTTAAATAAGGATTAAAGTTTTTTCCAAATATTCTTAAAATATACTTACAGCTTCTCCTTTATCTGCGTCACCCATTTTAAAATTTGGCTTTAAATAAAAATGCCTTGAGCTAAAAAAAAATAAAGTTGTACTACCTACAAAATGAATTGCACAATATGACTTAATAAATTTGTATTATAAAAAAATATAACGGAATTTTCAAGTTGAAGTTTATTTAACATTCAAAAAACTAAAAACGGATATTATGCTATAAATTTTGTTAAAAATTATAACATTAAAAGATTTTACTTACCAATTATTCGATAAAACACGAATATAGGTGTATGACCGCCGGAGCTTGATATGAAAAGAAATCTTGATACTGCAAAATTTTTATTGGGCGACTGCAAATCATACAAATTGTTCTAATTATATGGTAGGGATGAGAAGGTCAGGTCAAATATTTTTATTCCATGCCTGATCAATAGAGGTTATCTATTTTATTTATCCAAAGAGGCTACCTAGGTAGCAGTTACCTGATTGGTAAACAAGCTCTTTGGAACCAACCAAAGTTCTGGTCACAATTTTTAAGCACAGGCCCTATTTGACTATATAATGTTGTTTTTCAGCTGATTATAAAATTAAATAAACTATTATTGCCGACAATAGAGTTCAAGAAAAATTACATTTTAATTAGATTTCAAAGAAAATTTTTTAAAAAATGGCTGCCATATTAAAAGTTGTTAATCCGATTACACGAAGTACTTATTTAAAGTTTGTAAGTATTTTTAGTTAAAAATTCTTGTGTTATGTATTTATTATATCAATTTAAAAGTTGTATGAAAAATTGTGTAACATTATGCAATAGTCTAAATTAAAAAATTGAAATATAAAGTTATTTTAATTATTAATTTTATACAAAATTCTGTTAAGTTAATTTATTACATTTGACTTGTTTTTTTAATTAGCTTCCAAAATTAATAAAATAAATTACTATTTAAAATCATAATCATTTTGGAAATATTATATGTATTCAAACTTTTATTGAATTAATTATATATACTGACCTAAATATCAGTCTTATTCATTATTCTTCCATGTACAGTTACCAGAATAACAATCATATTTTTATATTTTAGGAGTCTAATTATGGTACTTATTTATGTTAGTATTATAATTTAATCTTGTAGTTCTTCTAGTTGATTATTAGGTGATATTTCACTTTAAAGTGAGAGACATATTCTAGAGAATGTATTGGTATTTTGGCATGATAACACATTTAGAGAGTTAAATCTGAACAACTCAATTTTCAGGACTTAAATAAAATTTTGAAAATTACCCCCAATTTATTATGTGAAACACTGTAAATCTCTTTATACTAATAAATATTTTTATGAGAAATAAAAAAAAAGTTAAGAAACATTTTTTTTTGTTATAAAAACCTACAATTATTTCAATTAAATGTACATCATTGTATCATATAATATTTTAAAGATATTGAATTGAATATATTATAAGTAGATTGAACATTTTTCTTTTATTTTAGAATAATTGGAGCCGTCCTTTTGTTTGTTGTAAGAAACTTAATCAAACCATGGAGTATTCCTCTAAGTCAGTAAGTACAATTTTAATATGATCTTTTTAATAAATAGTGTAATAATTATTGTACAATTTGAATATAGTTGAATTAAGTACTTTATAATATAATTTATTGAGTGTAGTTTTTCATTTTATAATACTTAAAAGCTTTTTAAATATATTATATTGTTAAAGCTAAAATACATTGATAATTTGAGTAATATTATCTAATTATAATTATTTTTCAATTTTTAGTAAAATAAAATAATATAATATTTACATAGAACTGAGATTTGTATTTTATTTTAAATCCATGGTAAAATGAACTTTGGATAAAACTATATTTTTAATTTTTTAATTTAATTTTGATTTCATTAGTTTAATGATTATGATTTTTGTAGGGATCATCTAATGCATATTCAGTAATCGATCATGAATATGATGCTGTTGTTGTTGGTGCTGGTGGAGCTGGTCTTCGTGCTGCATTTGGTTTAGTGCAAGAAGGTTTTAAAACAGCAGTTATAACAAAACTTTTTCCTACAAGATCTCACACAGTTGCTGCACAGGGAGGAATAAACGCAGCTTTGGGTAATATGGAAGATGATGATTGGAGATGGCATATGTAATACTATATTTTTATCATTATTTATAAAAAATATTTTACTTTGTAATTCATATTATTTCTCATTCTACCTCATATAATCATTATCATTTACTTCAAAAAAATATTTTGCCTTCTATTTTGAAAGTTATTATCATTTTAAAATATAGACTAGAGGTGTGGTGCGGATATGATTTTTTTTATTATTAGATATTTCTCTACCACACTCTTTCTGCCTAGTTTGATATGTAATTTAATAACTATTAAAGTATTGGTCCAAAAATTACTACCAATCAGTTATATTCTTAATAGATCATTATTAATTGTATAAAAAATTAATTTTATGTTAACATAAAAAAAAAAAGTTGGACGTCCTTATAAATTATCAGGAATAAACTTAAAAAATACTTAATGATTGGTAAATTTAAAATAATATTCTTAATATTATTTGAATTATTTCGATTAATTAAGTAATTCATGATAAAATAATCAATCTATATATTAAGAGTGGAAAGATCAAATAATACAATCTATCAATTAAGAAACAAATATTTTATTAAATAACCAGAGTTACATAATAAAGCATATTATTATAAAGTATAATCAGTGAAAACTTTGATTTTAATAGAAATTATTGTTTCATCATTTTTCATCAGTATATCTATTTGTATATAATCTATTTATTAAATAGAAACTTATGTCCTTGTGGCAACATAATACATATACAGCAATGTGCTTTTTTAAAATATAGGTTTGTTCCTTAATGGTTATGTTATTTATATATGAATAACTTTGTATAAATTATTATTTTTGCAACTAATAATAAAAAAATATATTATTTCAAAAAAATCAATAATGAATTAAACAAATATTATGTTATAAATTTCTGAAAAGATAATTTTCTTCATTTATCTACATTTATCTACATTTGGTTAAATAAAAATTATTCCAATTTCTTTCCTGTTTTTTAATTATTAATTTTATTTCTAAAAGTATAATTATATAGTAGTAATGAAATTCAAATTTCTAATAAGGAATGATGTATGCAGAGGATGACTGATGATAATAGGGTCAGTGGGCTATAAAAAATTTAGCCTACATCTTTTATGTTTCAACCCCAACCAAGTAATGTCTTAGTTTTATTTCTCATTAATTAAGTTTTTTTGAAAACAATTTAAGCGCTTTGGCAAAAATTAGGAGGTCCCAATGTAATGTCTCCTTAATTTTTTTTAATTTATTATATGTAAGTCCTGATTGTCAATTAATTTTAATTATTCTAAAACAACTGCAATAGGCCAGTCTTTCCTTGAATGTGTAAGAAGCTAAGTCAGGTTTACCTAGCTCTTATTAAATCATCATAAAATAAAAATCTTTCCTAAAAAGAAAAAAAATGTAGTAATAACTAAGGAAAAGATTTTTATGCTTTTATAAATTTAGCAACTAGCTGAATATGTGTTTGGAATAGCTTAAACGTTACATCATAAAAAAAAGTATCTATCAAATTTTAAGTTATTGGATATAGCAAATTAGTCTAAATGAATTTATTAATTTACTTCAATCTTGGTTTACCAATATAAATTAATAGAAGTTTAAATTATGGGTTATCAATATAATTAAATAATTAAATTGTATTGTGTTTACATTTAATAAGATCAATGATTAAAATATTACATTACTAGTTTATTATTGTAGGTTTGATACAGTAAAAGGTTCAGATTGGTTAGGTGATCAAGATGCTATACATTATCTTACTAGAGAAGCTCCCGCTGCTGTGATAGAATTGGAAAATTATGGTATGACTTATTAGTTGAAATTTTATTAACTAAATTTTTTTACCAAAACTTAAGATTATGTTTTTTATTTTAGGTATGCCTTTTAGTAGAACTGATGAAGGAAAAATATATCAACGAGCATTTGGAGGTCAAAGTTTAAAATATGGTAAAGGTGGTCAAGCACATAGAACTTGTTGTGTAGCTGATAGAACTGGCCATTCATTATTACATACATTATATGGTTATTCGCTAAAATTTAATTGTAATTATTTTGTTGAATACTTTGCTTTGGATTTAATTATGGAAAATGGAGAATGTGTTGGAGTTATTGCTCTATGTTTGGAAGATGGTACTATTCACCGTTTTAGAGCTAAAAATACTGTAAGTTAAATCATTTATATTTTGTAATTAATATACAGAGTGTAAATCTTTCGAACCATAGTAATGTATGGGCGAGTATCCTGGTAAAGTGTAAAATAGGACCTCGTTTTTTTTTTTTTTTCCAAAATTGGAGAAATTTTAGAATAACCCCCCCGAATTTCTCTAAAATTAAAAATAAATCATACCACAATATTTCCCGCAAAATTCTCATACAAATTGAATGGTCATTCGATTTTTTGTAATTTTTGCGCCCTCCCCTGAACTTTGGGTTCAAAATTGGAAAAAAATTTCACATTAGTGTGACCCATCAATTTGTATTGAAATTTCAATGGGAGTCCTGTGATGTAGTTTATTTTTAGTTTAATCGATTAAATAATAAGAAATACCGAAAAACCCACAAATAATGTGATATTTTTTTAATTTCATGAGTCTATTTCGTCTTTTATTATTTATTCAAACCGATTATAATTTTTATCATTGAAACTGTTATAAAATTATAAAAATTTTTCTTTTTAGGTCCCGAAAATAAAACAATTATACTATTGAAATGAATATTTTTAACTTTATTACAATAGGATAATTAGAAATAATTATTTTAATGTAATCGGCACACTACTCTTTTCCGAAATTAATCAATAATGAGAATATGGTACATCACTGAGCTTGTTAATGTTTATTTAAATGTTCGAAAAATACTGTTCACTATTGAATAGTCACTTATTAAGTTGCACATAATATTAGATAACCTTTAAAATATAGCTTCTTTTTTTGTGCAATAAAAATGCATAAATATTACATTATTTCTAGGTTTTTTCGGATTTTCTTGTTATTTAATCGTTTATACTAAAAATAAACTACATCACAAGACTCCCAGTGAAATTTCAATACAAATTGATGGGTCACACTATTGTGAAATTTTTTTCCAACTTTGAACCCAAAGTTCAGGGGAGGGCGCAAAAATTACAAAAAATCGAGTGACCACTCAATTTGTATGAGAATTTTGCGGGGAATATTGTGGTATGATTTATTTTTAATATTAGAGAAATTCGGGGGGGTTATTCTAAAATTTCTCCAATTTTAGAAAAAAAAAAAAAAAAAAAACGAGGTCCTATTTTACACTTTACCAGGATACTCGCCCATACATTACTATGGTTCGAAAGATTTACACCCTGAATATTAATTACAAAATATAAATTAGTTTGTAATTAAATATATTTATTAAAGAAAATTTTTAGGTTCTTGCTACTGGAGGTTATGCTAGGGCTTATTTTTCATGTACAGCAGCTCATACATGTACTGGTGATGGTCAAGCTTTAGCATCTAGAGCAGGAATCCCAATGCAAGATATGGAATTTGTACAATTTCATCCTACAGGAATTTATGGTGCTGGTTGTTTAATGACGGAAGGTTGTCGTGGTGAAGGAGGTTACTTAATTAATGGTTTAGGAGAACGATTTATGGAAAAATATGCTCCAAATGCTAAAGAATTAGCATCAAGAGATGTAGTATCTAGGTCAATGACTATTGAAATTATGGAAGGAAGGTATTAAAAAATAAAAAATGCCTTTTCATTTTAAATTGGTATTTAAAATAATTTTTGTAGGGGATGTGGGCCAGATAAAGATCATGTGTACCTTCAATTACATCATTTACCTGCTGAACAGTTGCAAGCTAGATTGCCTGGTATTTCAGAAACTGCTATGATCTTTGCTGGAGTAGATGTTACTAAAGAACCAATTCCAGTACTTCCAACTGTTCACTATAACATGGGAGGTATTCCAACTAATTATAGAGGACAGGTTTGTATTGTATTTTTATTTGTATAGTCTATAAAGGGCTATAGAGTCATAAAAAGTAAATTTTTTATGTTTAATATTATTTTTGTTATGCTTAAATTATTTAATAAATTAACATAAATTTTATTTAATTAAAGGTTATCAATCCTGAAAATGGCAAAGACAAAGTTGTTCCTGGATTATATGCTTGTGGTGAAGCTGCTTGTACATCTGTACATGGTGCTAATCGTCTGGGTGCTAACTCACTTCTGGAGTTAGTTGTATTTGGTCGCTCATGTGCTTTAGATATAGCTAAATATAATAAACCTGGTGACAAAATTCCTAAAATCAGTGAAGTAAGTCTAATTTAAATTTTAAGTTATTTTTCTTTTTCTCCCTCTTCTTTATCTCAACTACTTGAATCGGTTACCCTTATTTTATATGTATACACATAAATTTGAAGGGTGAGCCCAAAGAATTTCTAAAATTTTCAAAATAAGGGACACCCTAATACATATATATATATATATATACCCCAGCAGTCTTCATATTACTGCCAATTATATCAAACTACCACTTTTTCAATTTTCCCCTTCCTTTTCTTCCTTAAACGTTCATTTTCATAAGAGTCCTCTTTTTGTATTTTCTTAGTAATTTCATCCATCACTTTAAATAATAGATAAGGGCTTAAAGCAGAATCTTGGTGCACACTTGCTCTTACCCTAAAATCCTGTTTTTCTATATACACTTTTTATCCTAGTACATGTACCTTCTTACATATTCTCTATTACTTTGTATGTTTTTGGAACTCCTTTTCTCATTAACACCCACTTTAAAACCTCTCTCGGCAAACTATCGTACCTATTTTCCAAATCTATGAACACCATACAAAGTTTTTTTATCTCCCTATAATTTTCTATTAGCTGTCTCACACAAAATAACAACTCCATCGTTGACTTTCCAGGTAAAAAATCAAATTAGTTTTTAGTTACTGAAGTAAACTTTCATACTATGACTAATAAGTTTTTTATGCCTCTAATTTTCACCTTCATATTGTTTAGTTACATTCCCTTGATTTTAAATACAGGTACCAAAAACCTATTCCTTGACATAGTCTCCTCTAATAAGACTTTATTAAAAAGATCTTTCAATGATGCTTAGTTCCCCTAACATTTTCCTTGGACACTTAATCAGATCCTACTGTTTATTGTTTGAGATTTAATTTAAAATTTAGTAATGCAACCTGATTAATTATTTTTAAAGAATGCTGGAGAAAAATCTATAGCTAACATTGATAATTTACGCTTTAAAAATGGATCAACACCCACAGCAGATTTACGTTTAGACATGCAAAAAACAATGCAACTCTATGCTGCAGTTTTTAGAACAGGTAAAACATTAGAAGAAGGCTGTCTCAAAATGCAAGATATTTATTCAAAATTAAAAGATATTAAGGTGAATAAATATAATCAGTTTAGTAAAATATTAAATTTATTTAAAATTTATTTATAAAGATAAACGATAAAACATTGGTTTGGAACTCTGACCTAGTTGAATCATTAGAACTTCAAAATCTTATGATAACAGCACAACAAACTATAGTATCAGCTGCTGCACGCAAAGAATCACGAGGAGCTCATGCTAGGGATGATTTCAAGGTATCAATACTAATTTAAGCTAAAAAAAAAAAAAAAATTTCATATTTTAATTTTTTTTAAAGGAACGTATTGATGAATATGATTACAAAAAACCCTTAGAAGGACAAACAAAGTTAAAATTAGTAGATCATTGGAGAAAACATTCACTTGCTCATATCAATCCTGATTCTGGAGAAGTTAGTCTATAATGCTACCTTTTATTAAATTATACTTTAAATGTATTTATTTATTTTTTTTAGATAAAACTTACTTATAGACCAGTAATTGATCATACACTAGATGAAAATGAAGTAAAATCGGTACCACCAATGATTCGATCATATTAGAATTTTTGACTAAATTATTAAGTCTAGTCTGTTATAAGAAATTACATAAAAAATCATTGCATTAGTATTTAAAACAAAAAAGAAGTGAGAGAGAAGGAAAAGAATGTGATATTCTTAAAGGTGTTAAATATTAACAAGTTACTATATAAAATCTTATTTCAATGAATATCTTTTTTCATTTTAATAATGCGAATCACAAGTATTAGTAGTTTATAATGAAATGATTTACCTAATTAAATTTATTGTTTTATTGCTATTGGCATGTGAATAATTATTTGTTTTGTATAATTCAAAAAAATTTACAAAAAAAAAAGTGTAAAAATATAATTTAACTTATTTACCAATAAATTTTTAAAATATTTTCTTAAGTTCATTTTTGTATTACTTTTTCTTTCAGAATAAAACTATTAAGAATTCGTTGCAATTTTGCATTTAATTGATTTATTAAAAATATTTTTGCATTGGCAAATTAAGATGTTTTTTTAAAAATTTTGATATAAATAATTTTTTTGTATGCAATTTTTTCATACTTTACTAAGCGATTTAATATAAAACTACTTAAAATAGGTTTTTCTTTTTTCCTTAATTACCTAAAATTTTAAACAATAATTTCACTATATTACCATATATTAAACTTTTTTTGTAAAAAAATATTTATTAGAATTGATTTCAAATATGGCTTAGCATGACAAAGAAAAAATTGGCATTTAATAGAAATAATTCATTAATTTTGGAATATAAGTAGTTTGCTCTTGGTATTACTATCCTAGGGTCAAAAAGAGCTATGCCAAGCCTTAAACCATTCAAAACCAACAATTTAGATAGTAAATCACCTAAAAATGATCATTCAAATTTTATTTTAGTATTAAACTAACCTAGTGAATAATATTGGGTCGCAACTAAATAGTATTAAGTGAACCTTGTGTATTGTTATATTCTTAAATATAGGCGCTCTTACAACTTTCATATCATATACGAAACTATAAATTGTATACATGTAATAGATACTTTACAAATACTTGCTTTAAAAAGTCCATTGATATAAACGGACTAGCAGCTTAATAAATTTTTGCTTGAAAGAATTTATTGTAGGTACATAACTATTGTTGAATACAGGCGCAAACATATAGCTCATCATGCAACAATTCGTGTTCTGCAATTATAAAATATATTTATTAATTTAACATTATTTTTTTTTACGTTTAATCAATTATTTATATGTATGTGTTAATAAAAATATCAAAACGGAAAATTACGTTGTCAAAAATAGTATTCCACTACAACTCTGGTTCTTGTATAAAATGTTTTGCGTTATGCAACATTTATTCAAGCGATACTAAATCTTGTAAAAATTTCAATGCTATTTTGTCACTTAATGTATGGATATTCATATTTGTATTAATCTATAAAGAAGATTTGTGCATTCTATTTAATTCATTTTGAAATTTTATGTGGTAACACAAATATCTAATTCAGTGACGACTCGATGAGCTTGGAACTCAAACTCAAAGATTTTTAGTTCATTAAAAAATGTATGCATATAGTATGGCATGAAGGCAGCAAGATCTTAAAAACTTATTTTAATTTATTTACCGTAATTAGGTAATAAATTTGTATTGTATAATGTACACTTTATTAGTACACATTTTATTTTAGTGATATTAAACTTTGGTAATAATTTACTTAATTATTAATTAAATATTCGCTAAAATAAACATATTTCTGTAAAAATATTCAAGCTTATATCATATGATTTTAATGTTAAAGAGAAATTTATATATCACTGGAGCCTTACAGAACCTTGCGACAAAGCATTATTTATCCCCTCCGTTTTATTTGAATCGTCATATGATACATATGACTTATGGCAAAATACACACATATTTCTAAGCGGAATGAGTACGTTTCCGGTGAAAACTTTATTTTTTATAGTCTTATACTTAGTATTTTAATTTCTATTTTGTAAATCAGTAATATAGATACAAAAAACATATTAAAAAATAAGCCTATGAAAAATTCGTCTCAATTTCTAAATAAATATTGTTATAAAAAAATTATGCATTTTCTCGGCTAAAAATACAATTGAGTGCAATTCTCAGAAAGATTTTCTCTTTTTTCTCTGAATCACACAAAAGCAGTTTTAGTGATTTTGTATGATCAATTGATTTTATCATAAAACGTTCCAGTTGAAACCGATAAGATAAATAACAGGGCAGGCAAATTACTATGACTCGTAGCTAAGCAGTAACTCAAACAATGTCGAAATTATAAGGTATTTGAATTTAAGTTTTACTCTTCTTATAATAACTTATCAAAATATCGAGAATTTAGTTTGAATCAAAATTGAAATACTTAGAAACTTTATATAAAAAAATAGAATAAAATCAAAGAGTAAATTTTATTTTTGATATTCTAAAAAATGAGTTATTGACTTATTCGTTACGCACAGTTCACATTATGTAAACTACCCTAAAAATTAAACTGCCACTGAATTATTCGTGTGCAAAATCCTAAAAATTAATTTTTCAGCGAACTCAATATTTGACGTTGTATAATATTAACGAATCATGTTTATGAACTTCATTGCTCACTGTTGCAAGACAATTTAATTATTTGCCGGACATCTTTTAGTACGACATCGCGTCTTTTCATCACTCGTTCACAAACTACGTCCGAAATAATATTTGTGCATATTATACAAAACCAACTTGTGGATATGTTGACTGTTAAAAAATTCTAATTTCGACATTTTTAAAATAGTCCCTAACACAACAACTCCGGACACAACTCTTATACAGATTTTTTAGAGAAGAATCACTAGGTATGGCCACAACAGTGCCGGCGAATAGTTGAGGCCAGCGGGACACGTGCCCCGGACGTCGCGCTCCATGGGGTCCTGCACTAGCAGTGGCATAGTATTACGTCACCATGTAATAATTTTTATTAGGGGACTCTATTCCACTTCAACCAATCCCTATTGGCACAGGTGCCTTGAAATTATGATTTTCGCTGGGCCCCGCAAAACCTAGCGCCGTCATTTAGACTATTACAAGTCTTTTTCATTTATAAAAAAAAAAAAGTGGACATCTGATAGTTTACCTCTTGAGTACAGATGTATTAACAGTTTCTTGGAAATCGTAATTTTACCTAACAATAATCGCATCAGAAATTAGATATTCTAAATTGACAGAATATAAATCCAATTATATAATTAAGTTCGGTTATCTGCCTAATTGAAAATTTTTTGTAAAAGTCCAACAAAAATTTACCATCATCTATTAATAATTAGTCAAACTACCTCTATGATAGTAATTATTACTAGGACAAATTTATTAGTCTCAACAGAGATCACCATCGATGTGACAAGTTGTTGAGTCTTTTGCAACATTTTTCGTTCACCCCATCTAAATCTAAAACAACTAAAGGCAGTTCGATCTTGCACCTCAAAAACGAAGAGCTCATAGACCCATTGATTACGAAGCCGTAATCTCTTCGTTTGGATCGATTATAAATGGTAATTGGTATGAACGATTAATAAAGACGCATTCATTATTTCAGACATGAAAGCCAAGGGTTCTTTTTATTGTAGTGCACGTCCGGTGCCAATGATGACGGATAATGATAGAGAAGTCACTTGGTACGTGCCAGTAGTAGTAATAATAGCAATAAATTATATTTGTTGTAAAATAATAATAATAATAATAATAATAACACGGGCGTAGGCGCCGCCAATTGACAAGGTGCCATAATTAGCAGTATTAATTTAACTGTGTACACTCGTATATTTATTCACGTACAGAGATCACGATGGCTACCTTTTTTTATTTAAAAATATACTTAGTATCTATTTTGGTTACTCGTGTAGGTCGCCGCCGCAATGGTTTGTATGTGTGTAACAAGACGTCTAGACAAAGTCGTCTGTAGGGCGTATTTCGCGACGGGTCGATTCGCGCGTGCACTGGTATATTGGTATACCAGCAGCGGTAAACGCCATATATATAATAATAATATCATTATGTTTTTTTTTGGACCAGTAGCCGGTGGTCGTCCTGTCCGCGGTCGACCGGATGCTGTGGAATGTGGCGGTGTTCAGCGTGCGTATGCGCCAATCGGCTGCCGCCATCGACCACCGTTACAATATTTCTTGTACTGTTCCTCTAGCGTATCTCTGTGAACGTGTGAGTGTGTAAATAAGTGCGTGCGCACGCGGATGAATGACATTCCTGTGTAATATACCAAAGCGGTATCCTTCTGTTTTAAAAGTAGTAGGGTGTCTGTCTCGCCACTGTGCTGTTTTCTACTGACTGGCTAACGGGCGAGCGGTGGTAGGTAAACGTAGCGGTTGTCAAGCAAAAGGCTGTTCTAGTGTTGTAGCCTATATCTGTGTGTGTGTGAGCTGAGAGCAAGGCGGCGGCCTGTCAATCGATCCGAAACTCGAGCCGCGCCTATAAAATTTACGCACGCCGCCGCCTCGACCCCAAAACGAACGGATACACGTGAAAACCATGTGACTCTTTTACTATTTTATAACGAAACAGACACACCAAAATTAAACATTCGAGTTTTTTTCCATAGTAATAAAATTATTGAAACCTGATCCGCTTTTCACTTAATTAACTATTAAATATTGTTTTTAGTATGTTTTTGGATGGGTGTTACATTTTTAATATTATTATTATTGTTTTTATGTACGTCCGTTTTAGTAACCGAAAAAAACTGGTAAATAGTTACCTTTAATGGGCATAACTAATTTAATGTAAAACGAGAAGACCTAAAAATGTAGATACTAAATAAATGATGTAACAACGAGTAATAGCATAAAATGGAGCGGTTACATTCGACCAGAAAAGACACGTGTCTTTAAGTGTTCTATCAAAATTTCATAACAATAATATTTAATGCTTTTACTCGAGTAAAAATGTATTTTGTACCCTAAGTATCAGTCCCTTGCATATATTTCTGTCAAAATAATACATTCATAAAATATACAAGATTCTTCAAAATGCATCGATAACAGTCCTAAGGAAGAATTAAGTTGTTATTATTATTATTATTAGTGGAAAATAGATACATTTTAAGAGATTTTTTCCAATCATTTTCAAAATATATCCAATAAGTTTTAGGAAGGGATTTAAGCCCTGTGATTTTAAAAATTGGGATATCCCAATTTCTATAAATAAGCCTGTCATAGTTATTGCTTTTTGATGTTTAAGATGATAATATTCATTATTCAGCATTAATAAATAATATAATAAATATACTGATTCATAGTAAATTGTATTTATTATTGTATCCAAGTAATTTTTTGTCAAAAAACTCACACTAAACGTTATTTTAACCGTACAACTTTATTAAACCAAGACTTAATTTTAA